ACATTAATTATAGTGATGATAATAATAATGATGATCATAACAATAAGGAGAATAATAATGATAATAATAATAATAAATACACCAATCCCCTACCTCATCCCCTCAAAATAAATAAATGTAATTTGTTATGTAGATATTAAAAAAGAATCACAACTACACAACCTCAAAAAAATTAATAAAAAAGTGAAAGTCACGAACGAAAAGGACAAGACAAAATATTGTTTTTTATTCCGAGAAAAATGGTTTGTTGTTCGTTTTCAATTTTTACCTTAATTTCCTGTCTGAGATTGTCGTCCCTGTAGTTAAGGTCAGCCTGCTCCTTCACGAAGGCGTGATAATAAAATTGTTGACGCTCCTCATTCCACTCCCAGGCCGAGCCGCCAAATACTGACCGCTGTGATGTCACAACAGGGAATTCCGTTATAATGTGTCATGTAGGGTACGTGACCGAGAATTTTTTTAAGAGAACATTTTTAATATGGTCTAGCTGTTTTAAAGTCCCCTTTGACACAATTTAGATTACTTCGCAGGCGGGCTGCGATCTTGCCTATCTGTCAGGACCAACCCTGGGCTAAGAGGGATACAACATCCCAGCAGAAACAAGATACTCGACAGAAATCCCCCCCCCCCCTCAATCAAGAACCGAAGACTCGGCTCTCCCGCCAGCAACAGTGGAGCGCTTAACAGTTGCCAGTCTACCCACTTAGAGAACTTTAACAGATAGCTGACCCAAAAAGACTAGGATTAGCCTATATAATATAGATCTAGGTGTTTTGAGAGTATCCGAGCAGAGAAGAAAGAGTGGCCATGGCCGCCAATTTCTGTGTCAGACTTGGGACTTAAAGAGGAAGATGTAGCAGTAATTACATAAAATTCTTTCCACAATGGAATCGAACTCAAGTCTCTGTGTGCGACATCGAAGGGCTTAAACTCTACACTCTACACACAGAAGCTGGTTTAACAACAAGTGGGAGTCCACAGGGAAACTCCGATAAAGCTATAGGATCCACTCGATTATGTGGGCGGTTGTGGGGTGCCACTGGTAGACCTTACTTCATT